TTGTAGTAATGTCACCCAAGCCGGTAGTCGAGGGATGACACTGATATAAAAGGCATATATCAGACTGTATTACCCGAGGGAGAAGTTTATAATGTATTTATCTTACCGCCATGTTAAATGTTAAAAAATATCATTTTATTTTATTTTGAAGATCGATAAGCTCGCTACCGACTATGTGACACGTAAACAAAATGGCGTGTGCCTGTCGACTGGATTTTTAAAATCAGTGAAACATATTCTGACAAGCTTAAAACTGCTATAAAAATTACTAATTATGTTTAAGTTGAGTGTGGAAACGATTCAATGTATAAAATAGTATAAATAAAGCAGTGAAAGTCAGTAAAATAAATGTGTACATAGTGAACTCAAAATTGAACGGTTTCCGAACTCCATGCTCTGCATGCGTCATATTATGACATCATACGAATTATAGCTCTACAGCTTCTTGGCAGAGAGTTTGGCGGTTGCATTACCGTGGCAGCGGTAATGTTTTTTCCAGTTGTCACCCTCCTGGGAGGGATGACACAGAAACTTGTTAGAGCGTCTTTGACCAATGAAATTAAAGTATGTTACATGAAGGTAAGATAATGTAACACCTGACAGTTATAACTAGTTGACATATTCATGGAGAGTATTTTACCATAGCGGGAGATTATTGAATGACGACTTGGTCTTCTTGTTATCGAGTTTCTGCTGTGTCCAAGGGATGTAACTCTGCCCAGCAAAATGAAGTGCTTGGAAAAGGAATGACTTGTACTCTACTTGATAATTGATGATAAATGAATGTTTAATCAGATGTTGACATACCCGCCGTATCTACGTTTAGAATGATCAATAATGACATAACAGTAAATGTGTAAAAAAAATAATAATTGTTTTGTCGATTATATGGATTTGTTTGTGTACAATTGTTCTTAAAGGTCACATGCAACGCAAAACACAACTTTGCAGATTCTGATACCTTTCGGTATGGACTTACCGAAACAAATCATCAAAAATGCAAATTCAACTTATAAAGTTGAAAGATAACACGATGAAAAAAAACGCGCGAAATCGGAGTTCAAACTATTCACTAATTTTCCCACCGACTTTTCGGGGGAAAACTGGTTTCAACAGCTGGCCTGCGCTCATAGCACGTGCGCAGTGAAATAGGTTCGCGCAACTTGGAAGCGGGCTGTCCGTGAATACCGGTGAAGGCTTTGGTGTGAGCTTATTTTTCTAATGTTTTGTTGATATCTCACAGGCGCGAGCTTTTATATGTTATGACAGTAAATAAACTGTTTATATAATTTCATTTGTCTATTTCACCACACGTTCTTCTTACCGAGTCACTTTCTCTGTTCGATACTTAAAAGCAATGTCATTATTTAGCGTTGACAGAATTTCTAACTGTGATATAGATATGTCGTTGTCACAGACAAAACTCAATGTCTTGTTTTATTGACACCTGTGTGTCTGCCTGCCTGTCTGCTAATGGCAATATTCAATACACAACTGTGATCACTGACCACATGCAATTTGAACTTAACACCAATCAGGCTATACACCATAAACAAAACGCATTGATTTATGGCCCGAGTTCGGCCTCTGTCACATTATGTAATTACACAGACAGGCAGGTGTGATACTTGAACACATGACATGTTATGATGTCTGTTGATTGCAAAATGTTATACACTAAAAATGAGCATGTATTTACAAAACCCAACATCTCTATATATACACACACAATGAGCCGTGAGGGGCATCTGCAAATGAACCAGCCCTTAAGAAATATTATTAAACCCTAATTGATGATAGTAATGCTCATTTGAATCTGTATGAGAGAACGGTTGTCCAAATGAAATATATATATATCGTTAATATATTGACCCTCTCCAACAGCTGGCTTTGTGTATTTATTATTATTCTATATAGCATGCTACATCTATAATACACAGTGTTATTAAAAAATACCCAACAATACAAGCACTAGTTTCAGGAATATATAAACAAATGTCACAAGGCATAGAGAGCTGAAATTATCAATAATATTTGAAAATTTTATGCTGGTGTGTGTCATATGTCAAGGTTGAACATTAAATACACAATGCCATTTCTCAGTAAAGTACAGAACTAAACATATGTTATATTTGACCACTTTCTAAATGGCATTGTGTAATCATAGCTTTCGGTCATGGGAGCTGTGCCACTTACATTTATCTTACCTCACACATAAATGTCGCTTTCTGATTGGCTGAGCGCTCTTCTATTATTTTCAATGTACCCCGCTTACAAGCGAGTAACATTTCAATGTACCCCCTGTCAATGGCAACTCATTCTGTACTTCATGGTAGTAATTCTTTATCTCGAATAACATTGAATCACATATGATGTACGGCAATTACAGATATTTTGTGAATGCAAATCGATGGAAGGGAGATAACTCTAAATCTGTTTTTCTTGTCAGCAAAATCTAGCGATGGCTACAAAAGATTTGAACCCGTGCTTCAAGCAATTCAAAATTAACATTGAGGTGTTCGGTAAGATAAATACGTTGTTCACTGGTCCCTCGGGGCCCATGGGTTGATGTACCCTCGATATTTGTTCATGTTCCCCTCGGCCTTCGAGGGTACATCAACCCATGCCCCCATACTTATAGTATCAGAGGGGTACATAAGGTCCATGGTCTGGATGGCCAGTTGTCCGACTGTCATTTTTGTGGAAGCACCTGTGGCTGAGTGGGTTAGATGGCCGACTTTGTGTGCTGGCGATTAGGTGCCTGACTCTGGATGGGACTCCACCCAACAAAAGTACTAGAATCTGTATTTTACTAAGAAAGTGTATTCCCAAATATAGCATTAGTTACATAAGGTTGAACATTGTTCAGGGCTGATCGGGGGCTCAGTGGGGTAGCCTAGTGGTAAAGCGTTGCTCGTCATGCGGAAGGCCCGGGTTCGATTCCCCACATGGGTACAGTGTGTGAAGCCCATTTCTGGTGTCCCCCACCATGATATTGTTGGAATAGTGCTAAAAGAGGCATAAACCAAACTCACTCACTGACTCACTCACACAGGGCTGTTCTTTCTGGTTACTTAACTTTCTTGGAAGATACAAACAGGAACTATTTGTAAATAACTCATATGAAATCAAAACAGACAGCCAACCAAATGGTTATTAAGATAGGCCATGGTTCAGTTTTGTACTATAGCATGCAAAAGTTGTCAGGCATCAATATATTATATGGGCAAGGGTAGCCTGGTTGTCTAAGATGCTGGTCTCTGTGCAGAGTTGTATCCCCTTATTATAAATTCAGACTTGGGATTTGTCTGCAATATCAGTCCGGCTCAGCAACTGCGGCTTCCACTTCCACGGCTATGTAGAAGCCGTGGTGGCTGAGCGGTCTAGGCGTCTCACTTTGTGTGCTGGCAATTAGGTGCCTGACTCTGAGGGTGTGGGTTCGAATCCTGGATGTGACTCAACCCAAAAAGTACTAGAATCTGTACTTTACAAAGAAAGTGTAATCCCAAATATATAACATATGTTACGATGTTTGAAGAGGCAACTAGCATGATCAGGTGGTCAGGCTCGCTGACTTGGTTGACACATGTCATCGTATCCCAGTTGCGTAGATCGATGCTCATGCTGTTGATCACTGGATTGTCTGGTCCAGACTCTATTTTGTATAGATCACCACCCTATAGCTGGAATATTGATGAGTGCGGCGTAAAGCAACAAACCAAACTAAAACCATTGTGACATCCGTTTTCAGGGATTGGTACTGTCCTTTACGTGAGATGAGAAGGCATTGGTTCCTTTCTGACTTCGTCATGTTGACAGGGGGTGCCCTTTACTTGAAACATGAATTGACTGGTTCCCATTAGCCGTTGTCATTGTGACATCCTTTAAGGGACTGATATCACCCTGTACAGTTAAGCGTTTCTTGTTGGACTTAAACAGCTTGTTAATAATCATCAAGGCTTGTTCAAGTTCTTCCTGTTCAAATAACTTGTACACCACATACATAAAAAGCTTCCTCTTTTATGTGTGCTTAAAATGTAGTCCCTACAATTTTACAATTAATATGTGCTCTAATGTTCTCTGGGGCGGTGGGGTAGCCTAGTGGTTAAAGCGTTGGCTCGTCACGCCAAAGACCCGGATTCGAATCCCCACATGGGTACAATGTGTGAAGCCCATTTCTGGTGTCCCCCGCCATGATGTTGCTGGAATATATACCAAACTCAGTCAGTCAGTCAGTCTAATGTTCTCCTGTTTAAATGTGTGACTGCCATTTATACCAATAGTATTTTTAGCAGGAGATACAAATACTTTTTGCAAACATAAAAACAATATCCCATCTGGTTTGTCAAATTACAACCAAATCTAGCTGCATTAACTAAAAAATATGATGCAATTGTTTGTTTCTTGTTGAATATTCTTTCAAATTGACACAATTTGCCATTATGGTTTGGCCGTCTGCTACACTAGGATTGTAGGATTTCTTTTATCCATACTGTGTAAACAACATTGCAAGGCTCAGTCATGTGAAGGAACCAGAGTTACTTCCCCCTGAAGGACTGATGAAAATTCTTGAAACTTGCCCATTATCATAACCACATTTGTAACGGAACTCGAAAATAATTACAATCAGGGCTAGTATAGCTGATTGTTATTGATTTTCTGTATTCTCCAAAACATGTGTTTTCAAATGCTGTGTTGCAATTTTAAAATGCAAATGTGACATATACACTCACAGTTTGGGGCATTAATGTTGTGGGGCGGTGGGGTAGCCTAATGGTTAAAGCGTTGGCTCGTCACGCCGAAGACCTGGGTTCGAATCCCCACATGGGTACAATGTGTGAAGCCCATTTGTGGTGTCCCCCGCCGTGATGTTGCTGGAATATTGCTAAAAGCGGCGGAAAACCAAACTCAGTCTGTCAGTCAGCATTAATGTTGTTCTTTACATGAGACAGGAATTGACTGTACCTTTTTGTCAATGCCTTTCTAACATTTGTTTCCAGGGAGTGACCGTGTCCTTTACAAGAGACAGAGCCATGATGGGGTGAGTTGCCACCAGGTGAGCTAGACCCTGGCCACAGACCACCCTCCTCATCAGTTCCTCCTCCTTCTCATCATCCTCACCATGGTCCATACGAAGCTGCCACACGAGATGGCCACCAGCATGGAGAGGATTCATGTACAGGAAGTGTACGAGCAAATTGCGCCACATTTCGCTGACCTCAAACAGAAAGCCTGGCCGAAGGTGAAACACTTCCTGAAGAACCTTGAACCTGGATCTCTGGTAGCTGATGTTGGTATGTATCTTTAGCCGGGTACTGCATGGCACTACAAACCAGAATCCACAGAAACCCCACTTAATAGTTTCAAGGGTTCTCTCAGGAAATATAATGGTGATGATATGGTGTAGTACACCGGTTTGTTTGTTGTTTAATGCTGCATTCAGCAATACTCCAGCTATGTGGTGCCAGTCTGTAAATAATCGAGTCTGGACCAGACAATCCAGTGATCAACAGCATGAGCATCGATCTGCACAATTGAGAACTGATGACATGTATCAACCAAGTCAGCTAGCCTGACCACCCGATCCTGTTAGCCGCCTTTTACGACAAGCATGGGTTGCTGAAGACCAATTCTAATCCGGTTTATACTGTAAGATGTAATAATTATGTCTATATCAGGAACTTGTGGAGATTTGTTACAGTTGTAGCCCAAACACATTGACTATAATATTCAGTGCATTCATTGTCTTGACTCACATACTTTCATACCACCATGACTGACTTACTGCAACACTTTTATTGTCCATTACCATAGCAACAATTCCTGATACAGTGACTGCCTACTTTAGCACCTATTCCTCAGAAGAGATTTACAACCATGGGCCTGATTGCTCTGTGAAACAATATCCTGTTCCGAAGAGCAACTCTTGCTTCTGCCAATGCATTGAGCCATGAAGTTTTTGAAAGGCATTTAGAAGTTTGATGAACATGAATACGTGACACATTTTATGGAGAACTTCTTTTTATTCTTTACACAAAGTTTAAGAGATAATTCTTGCTCCTTCATCAGGTCACTATATTATTATCTTTGCACATTCTCCCACCTTGCCTTGTTAAACATTTTCCATGCTTCCATCCACGCATCCATCCATCCATCCATCCACCACATCCATCCATCCATCCATACATCCACACATCCATACATCCACACATCCATCCACCCATCCCCATGATGGATGAAGCAATGAGTTAGCATCCACATTCAAAATCCATCATGTCATGTATTCATGCAGCAAAACATCATGTCACATGCAGTACTGCTGTTTGTTAAAAATAATTGTCTTATGATTACTTGTTGTCAGAAATGAATGATTGTGTTTGGGACAACTTTTAAATTATTTTTTAATTGACACAGCTTCAACACCAGCAGCATTCATACAAAATTATGCATACTTACATGTTGTGGACATTATTGTCTGGAAAACTTGATGTTGGTTCAGGATGCTGACTACTTTCAGCCACCACATACTAATAATGGTAAACAGAATGAATCTGTGAATCGGGAAGCTAAATGATGTAGGAAGGCCAACCTTTATGTAGGCCAGGAAATAAGATCCCAGACAAGACACATAATTGCATTAATTTAAGCTTTAGTCAGTGATTACTGCATGCAAACATCCATGGAAGCCTAAAACCATGATTGTAAAACAACACTGTGTAATTACCAAGTTCATCCTTTATAGCACAACAGATGTATTTCTTTACCAATGTGCATAACCTATATCAACTCAACTGTAGTGAATAATGATCAGGATGCTATGTCACACTCTTTGTAGCTCAGATATGTGTGGGCTGCCTCCGTGGTGTAGTGGTTAGAGCGTCCGCCCGGAGAGCGGAAGGTCGCGGGTTCGATCCCCGACCGCGTCATACCAAAATATGATACTTGTTGGTCCCTGCCTGGCGCTCGGCATTAATGGGTACAACAAGGACTGGTCGGCTTGGAGTCAGTATAATGTGTCTGAGTGGGGTATTCATGCTTCACTGCGGCATGGTATCTCAGTGGGCTAGCACTATAAAACCAGCTTCAGTCTGGGCTAGTACAAGCAGCCGCACATACACATACACACGCATGCACGTCGTTATATGAAATAACTGTCAAAATATGAAATATTCTCAAGCACGACGTTAAACCCTTCACCTCACCTCACTTCAGATATGTGTGGTGCTGATGGGAAATGATGTGACATGACACACTTAGGGCTGCACAGAAACTGATGGAGATTAGAAATCACCTGAAACAGCACTTGTTACTGGTATGGACCTCATTTAGTAGTTAGTGAGTGAGTGGGTTTAGTTTTATGCGGCACTCAGCAATATTCCAGCTATATTTCAGCAGTCTGTAAATCCTAACTGGGGATGTGTGATTTTTTGTTTGTTGTTTAACACGACTTTCATCATTGTTCCAGCTATATGATGTTGGTCTTTAAATAAGACAACGCAAGACAAATCCAGTGACAGACATCGCAAGGATTGATCTCTGACATGTTAGTGAGTGAGTTGAGTTTTACGCTGCACTCAGCAATATTCCAGCTATATGGCGGCGGTCTGTAAATAATCGAGTCTGGACCAGACAATCCAGTGATCAACAGCATGAGCATCGCTCTACACAATTGGGATACAATGACGTGTCAACCAAGTCAGCGAGCCTGACCACCCAATCCCGTTAGTAGCCTCTTAAGACAGGCATGGGTTACTGTAGATCAATTCTATCCCGGATCTTCACAGGTCCAAATGGAGTAACAGTATACCAATACACACACGCTTCCCAATTCATAACATGTACATATTAATTTTTCTCAGAAAAATGTCTGGAATGATGATTAAAATTTACCACTTTGGTGAATCCCAAGGGGCACTTGGGTGCTTGTCATGAAGAGCGGGGTTTGATTCCTCACATGGGCATTATGTGTGAAGCCCATTTCTGTTGTTGCCCGCCAAGATATTGCTAAACAAATCAGCTTGAAACTAAACTGACTCACTCATACCCAAGGGTAGCGGTGGGGTAGCCTTGTGGTTAAAGCGTTTGCTCGTCATACTGAATACCGGGTTCGATTCCCTACATGGGTACAATGTGTGAAGCCCATTTCTGGTGTCCCTGCCATGATATTGCTGGGATATTTCTAAAAAAATCAGCTTAAAACTAAACTCAATCAGTCACTTCCAAGGGGGCACAGGCCATGAACAATCACAGCCAGCATCAACAGAGTTTGATCTGGATCTCCTCCATTGTCTTCATTGTGAAAGATTATTTTGTTGACCAGAACCTAGGACTTTCTTGTAGATATCAAGCATGATTTTCCCCATGTTATTTGCATTCATGGACATTCAATGTTTTGAACTTACGCTTAACCACCCTTGCTACTATTAGTGGTGTTCTGATGATCAAAAATAATTGAAAATCGATCAAAAGAAGGATTAAAAATAATTATCGATTGTAAAAAACATATTTTTGATTCATCAGAATTTTTGTTGTTTTAGTATAACACACTTGAATGAAGTGAACTAACCATTAAATTTGACGAATTCACGAACAAACATGCGCTCAACAGTGTAAAGCTATTCGCATTGTAAAATTTTAACCACGTTTATTGTTTAATTACAATTCCAGTGTCTTTCTTACATGCATGCATGCATTTCATTACATGACAGTAATAGTTTTAAAAAAACATTAATTTTATAAAAAAAACATTAATTTGAAAAAAAAGCACCTTAAAATTGGTGATTGCATTAAGAATGTATATATTTCGATTAGAATCGATAATCGTTCACCACAAGTCCTCCGACAATGGATAGTGGATCTGGTTTCCGATTTTCAACCTTTTGTTGCAGGTTGTGGAAATGGCCGCTATTTAAGGATCAACAGCTCCATATACAAAATTGGGTCTGATGTCTGTCAGCCCCTTGTGCAGCATGCAAATCGTCAAGGTCACGAGGTCATAACTGCAGACAACCTTCACCTTCCATACCGAGATGGCATTTTCGATGCTGTTGTCTCAATAGGAGTGATTCATCATTTCTCTTCTCACAACAGACGTGTTCAAGCTTTAAAAGAGTTGACAAGAGTTCTCTCCCCTGGAGGCAAGCTGATGGTGTATGTTTGGGCCTTCGAACAGAAGCACAGAAGGGTATGTAGTCACATTTGCATAAATTGTTAAATATATGAGAGTAATCACATTGCTGAACACAAAGGAGACCGGATGATCCCGCTCACAGAGATTCGTATCCACCAAAACGGCTAATCCTGTAAAACCAAAACTCCTGGCATGCAGCATTCATACTTTATTTGTCCGACTCGTATTTGGAAGTCCATCTCATAAATTTCAATGACCCATATCTAATTATATTCATATATTCTAATTTTATTCATTTAAGTATTTTTCTTATCCTGACTCATGATCTTTTGCTTATCTCCCTTTCCCTTGCGAATGGTAGTGGAACACTTGAATCCCTTGAAGTTCCCGAAACGGACGTAAAAATACACTCACCCACGAGTTACCTCCCTTTTCCCGCGTAAACAGTCATGTGACCAGCCTTACTTGTCACTCTCTCCCTTTTCGCCCAAGTGGATGGTTGGGCGAGCACTGGAGTCCCGTATACGGCATTATATCCTTTTTATTTAGATCCTATTCTTCAAAATTACGCTGTGTATGGATTTGGCAATAACTACTATGTATTATATGTAAAAAAATTGTAAAAATTATTTGTATTTGTGTCATAATTTCATCGTTATGTAACTTTGTTTACATTTCATGAAATCTTGCAGTGTTTGCAGGCACAGGTTATCCGTGGCTGATCCTCACCCCCAATGCCCTTCGTGCATAAAACCATGTTCTTCCAGCTTGCGCTGTACTTATTGTGTTGATTTATCAAATCTACAATTTAATCAATATTTGTCTTATATCTATAGACGTGCCATGGATCGGGTGAGGAAGTCATCTCAAGTCACGGCTGATAAAACAGGAGATCAGCCTGCAAACCGTATGTTGCTTGCTACTGCTGAAATTCATAATACTGGTGCTATGTTGAGTACGTTGCAGGGGCAGTCTGCTGGTACGGGGGCCGAGAAGAGATCGGCTATGACGCAGTTGACTCCGACTCAAGCTAAGAAAAAGACGTCGTCTTCTTCTACGTCGCAGAAGAAAGCATTTGTTACCAGATCGGAGGGTAAATCTACGCGGCCTAGTAAGTCAACGCATCAGAAATCCTTCAACGAAGACATATTACCTCCGCATGAAGTAGACGTTTTTTGATGATCCCTCGTCACTTCTACCAAAAGTACCTACGAGATCGGCGACTCAATCGACTTCCAAAACTACTAGATCATCTCCTGCAACGGTCACAGCAGGCCAGCTGTTTGACGAACTACCACCAACTTCTCAACGGAGTGAAGTCGAGGCACACAACTCATCAGCGTTCGCGAACGCTTCTTCTACACCGCAGCAGCTTCAATCAACGCAGAATTAGATCCAGGTGAAATTATGAGACAATTCACCAACCAGATGATGGCCATGATGGAACGTAGGTTCGAGGAAGAAGCGAAGGCTCGGCGAAGCCTCTCATGTACTGACATCATGCGCAAACCTATGGACCTGTGCGAACCCACGGACCTGTGCGAACCCACGGACCTGCGCGAACCCACTCTTCATAGAACTACGTCTCAAGACTACGTAGGCGAACGTACACCTTTGCGAAGGTCTCCACAGTCTGACGACTCTGTCATCTTGGAGGAGGATAGAAGACATGAGATGCCTAACTCACCGTTCTACATCTCAATGTTCGAGAACATCGAAGGATCCATCTCCTACATCTAGCCGTTCTAGATCGAGATCTCAAATCTCTTACAGACGTTCGCGAAGAGAAGGCTCACATCACAGAGGTTCGGGAAGGGATACATCTAGCGACAGAGGTTTGCGAAGAGTAGGCTCACATCACAGAGGTTCGCGAAGAGATGAATCCACAGATAGAGGTTCGCGAAGAGAGGACTCTCAAGATAGACGTTCGCGAAGGAGGAATCTTCAGTTCGCGAAAGGATGATGGAGGTTTGAGAAGGGATACAGGTTCGCAGAAGGATGATTCGCGGAGGCATAGCTCTACCGATCAGGAGATAACTGATGAATAACCAGACTTCGTCTTCCCGGACTCAGAGGTTACAGCTTGGATAGCCAATGGTTTGAACTTGGAGTCTCCTTCTAAGGATATAGATGAAGTCTACACTTATAAGATGCGTAATGACGACTTTGACTCGGTGACTATTCCTCCGATTGAACCTATATCCAAGGTACCTTCTAACCTACGCACAGCTTTGAGAAAGCTGCAGACATCTACAAGGTTCGAGAACTCTCAGATCTACAGGCAGATAACAGCAACGCAGACATCTACAGGGTTCGCGAACCCTAGGGTTAACAAACCCTTACATCAACAGGCAGGATGTTGACGTCGACTCTATTACCATACAGGCTGAATAAAACGAAGCAATGATGAAAACGGATGGTTTTGTCAGAGTTTATAACTCAACAAAAGATCTACAACATGTGCGATCTCTACAGTTTACAGCCTGCACAACTCTACAACCTGCACAAACCTTATACCTGTATAGGTTCAGTTTCGGACGACAACCTACTTGATGAAAGGAATCCCTTCATCTACACGGATGCTGAGGTCTTATACCGGGTAGCAGATGGCCTGCGGATATTGTCGTTCACTCACTCACTCCAACCCAACAGAGACGTACTGCATATACGCTGATGACTTCGACTCCAATATGATATCACCTATGAAGCCGATATCTCAAGTACTGGAGAACCTCAAGGCGACCTTTGTAAAGGGCTTAAGGTTAACAACGCCTTCAAGAATCCTTGAACGGACGTACAGATGATATTATTAACACTCGTCACTCAGCGTGGGGATTAGGATTTTATATCCTATCAACTAGATTCAACATCGGTATTTCTTCAAGATCCATACAGACATACGTCTCGACAGCCTCCTTCGTCATGCTGGTTTATATTATCCACAATGGGAATACGTGATTTATATCACTGAACAAGATTTTACACTTGGAGCAACCCTTATTCAAGAGGTTTATATGAGCGGCGTAGAATTACGCGCGCTTTTACTCAACCAACTAATTGCACCAGATTTTATGGAGGCCAACTTGCTACAACACCGGTGACGTCATGCTTGAAGCTGATTGGTCCACGTCAGACAACGCCTCCCACTGACAGAGCAGGCACCAGCAAGTTTACTGACTTGTAAACAAACCCGTGGTACGGGGAATACTTCATCGGCAGCCTTGGAAACAGTATACAACTACGGCCTGTTATCATCATGGGAATCTAATAGATGTCTAGCCTTGACAGCAGGATAAACAATGTTTATTTTGGAAGTTGTCGCTGATAAAAGTCGGTATGAGTACCTGTCCCCTGCGATGCTACACTGGAGCCAGCCTTGCTATAAATAGACAACGCTTCGATGTATGCTGATCAACACAGATCGCCTGCGTATATAAGGGGAAGAATGATGTATCATCACTGCAATCAGAGGTTAGCACTTCCAATGGAACGTCCTACCGTTTGGAATATCATCGGCTCTATGATTATTCATACGAATAACCAAGCCTATCGGCACCTATCTGCACCTATCTGCAGCATCGAGGTCTACGCAGTGCCGGTTATCTGGACGACGGCATACAGGTTCTTCAAAGTGCCAATCAACTCAGACAGCAGCTGAACTTCACAATTAAGTTGCTCACGCAACTAGGATGGCTAGTGAACCTGATGAAGTTGGAGTTAGAATCAAACAAGATCTTCAATTGCTGGGAATAAGAATTATCACAACACAGAATCGAATTGTGGTCCCAGAAGATCATTGGGTCAAGATACAAGCCATGATTCCACAAGCAGTCATCTCTCCGTTAACACTACGAACATGGCAATGTCTACTCGGTCTACTAACCTCGGCGCAGGACTTGACTCGCACAGGAAGGTTACAACTAAGGCCGCTGCAACGGTTCCTGACAAAACATCTGGACAGCGTCGACCCTATCTTGCTGCCAGACAATCTTAAGAGGTACCTACTTTGGTGGACCCACAGGTCGAACGTCTGCGGAGGGACCTATTTACAAGAGCCGGCCTTTGACACACATCTCTACATAGACGCATCGATACAAGGTTGGGGTGCACATCTCAACAATCAAGTTGCATCAAGGAAGTGGTCCAAACAGAGCAGCATCTTCACATCAATCTGCTGGAGATGAAAGCTGTGATCAACGCCTTACAACTATGGTCGAGCTCGCTGATCAACAGAATGCTGATGGTCCACACGGACAACTCTACAGTGGCATTCTCCATAAATCGGCAAGGATCTACAAGATCACCAAGCCTACTACAGCTCACATTCCAGTTGTTTGACATCACGGAGGAGGCAAACATCTGGATAAAGGCGTGTCACATACCCGGAGCCAAGAACGTGCTTGCAGACGCTCTCTCCCGACCACTGCACCCGTCACCTACGGAATGGATGCTCCATCCAGAAGCATTTCGGCTCATCATAAGGGAAATAGGATCCCCATGCATAGACCTGTTTGCCACGAGGTTCAACAAACAACTACAGACGTTTGTCTCACCAGTTCCAGATCCTCAAGCCTGGGCAACAGATGCACTGAACATATCATGGGAAGGACTAAACGCTTATGCGTTTCCACCACTGATATTACTACCGAAAGTACTGTTGAAGATCAAACAGACACAGGCGCTACAACTGACCTTGGTCGCGCCATACTGGCCAGCGAGAGTATGGTTCCTAGACCTAATAGAAGATCTCGGAAGTCCAACAATCAAGTTACCAGATTGGCCGAACCTACTCATACATCCGCACACCAAGCAAGTCCACAGGAACCCAACACTGTTCCAGCTACACATGTGGACCATATCAAAACATGTTTGAAGAAAAGAGGATACTCCGCCAGGGCAGCCAAGGCAGTAACGCTAGCGTTACGCAGATCTACTCGTAACCTGTATGATGACAAGTGGCTGAAGTTTGAGACTTATGCAAGGCGGAAAGGCTTCATTGCTATGAAAGCTACTCATCCTCAAGTGGCGGAATACCTGTGTCATCTTAGACAGACTAGACATCTGAAAGGTTCGACATTATCTACATACCTCGCTGCCATCAGTACAGTGATTACCATGAAAACAGGCATCAAGTTGACGAAAGTACCAGAATTACTTGCTCTGCTGAGATCTTTTAAACTGGAGGACCAGCAAAAGAAGTTCAGAGCTCCGGCCTGGGATCTGAATGTAATTCTACGTCATCTTACAAGTGATGCCTACGAACCTCTAGATCAGACTACCTTCGAGCTGCTGACACAGAAGACTCTGTTCCTGCTTGCGCTAGCCACGGCAGCTCGAATATCAGAGATACATACGCTGGACTTTGGTCGAACCAGATTCGACACGGGGCAACATGCTGCAGTTCATCTAGGACTTAGATGGGACTTCATTGCCAAGAACCAACTACCTGGTCAGCCAGATAGACAGTTCCACGTACCAGCGCTATCTACAATCCTCGGACCAGAGGATATAGAGGACCTATCCTTGTGTCCGGTCAGAGCCCTGAAGATATATCTTCAAAGACTAAGACAAGGAGACGAAAATTCAAGCGCCTGTTCATCCCATTATCCACAGAGACATCAGCAGAAGTCTCAAGAACGACGATATCGTTCTGGATGAGAGCCGTCATATTGAGAGCCTATAAAGCAGCAGGACTAGAACCTCCTAGAGCTTCCAACCCACACGAAGTCAGAGCACTGGCGTCAACACTGGCTCTGCATGGAAATTGCTCTATATCAGCAATTATGGAGGGCTGCTTTTGGAAGTCGGACACAGTGTTTGCCAACCACTACCTCCGAGACATAGCCACTGAAGACGTCTCAGGCATTCACCAATTTGGGCCTCTCGTTGTAGCACAGCAACTAACGGTTCCTCAAAGGCGCTGAGTTGGAAAATCTCACCCTTTATCATGTTGACTTGTTGATAACTTTTACTAAGGAAAAGTATTAGTTTGAAAGTCCATGCACACAGTCTAGGACAGACTAGCATGAGTGATTAAAGATCCTGTACGGGTAAAGATCTTACCTGTACGTGAAGGGGTCGCAACTCATTTATGATAAAGATCTTATCATAATCTATGGGTTGTTATAAGATATCTAGTAATAAGAAGATACTAGTTTATCTGAAGCCACATGAATCAAGATGATTCAACTTGTCTGAGATGGAAGTAAGACAAGAAGTGGTCCCCCCGAGTTATAACGGAAGTTGGAAGAATAGGATCTCGGAAATGCTGCTACACAGTTCCCATGGGGGGGATACAGGACGTATCTAAGGACAGCTGATGAATCCAGGAAGTGGCCTGACCCACCACCAATCCGTCGGATTCTATAAGCAAAAGATCATGAGTCAGGATAAGAAAATATATGTAATTTCCCGACCTCCCCGCTGGAAACACTTCGGATTGCACAGTAGATCCAAGTGTTTGGGCAGAAAAATCAGGAGAGAGTGACAAGTAAGGCTGGTCACATGACTGTTTACGCAGGAAAAGGGAGGTAACTCGTTTGTGAGTGTATTTTTACGTCCACTTCGGAAACTTCAAGGGATTCAAGTGTACCACTACCATACGCAAGGGAAAGGGAGATAAGCAAAAGATCATGAGTCAGGATAAGTATAAAAATATAAATTTTACTTGAAAAATTACATATGTATATGTCTTGTATATGGGCTGTAAGCCTTTTGTACAATTAACAAGATCTAAAAAAAATGTACATATCATTTATTGCGAGCATATATTCACATATACTAGCACAGATTTTTGCAAATCTATCATGTCTATTTGAATACACTTTCATAGTTTCATATTCACACCATAGCACCATTTTCACATATTCAGCATTTTTAGAATTATATTTTTTTAAACTCCAGTCATTCATTTTTCATTTCAAATGTTCAGTTTACAATTTACTCCCTATGTTGATTGTGATAACAGGTGATTATCCTTCATGTGAAGCACCTACTAACGCATCACAGTTCAGTAAGATGACTTGCTGTGGTGTAAATTCAAAATGATAGAATGCTCAAACAGCTGACTGACTCTAAATATGTTTCAGTTTGAGAGCCAGGATGTGTTGGTCCCCTGGCACAAACCCTGCCACCCCTCCCACCGCACATACAGAGGGTCCAGCTCGGACATTGACCACTCCAGTAACAGTTCCGTCAGTGACGATGACACCTCCTCTCTCAGCAGCTTCACCCACTGCCAAGATAGTCCCCCTGACGACCTGTCAGGATTCTCAAACAGGATCAAGTCCTTAGAGGATTTCCGCCAGCCTTCAGACGATGTTTTTGAAATGGAGGATGAGGGACGTCTGCAATCATCTCGAAGCGGATGCTCCCTTGACCAACTCACCCTAGTCCAAGAGTGTCGTCGTCTTGAAGCCTGCCTGAAGGAATTGTCAGAAAAACAGATCTCAACAAGTGAACTTAACCTCTCAAAGGGCACTGTCCCCATGTTGTTCAATTACAGAACAAAGTCTCATGCTGGAGTAGAGACATCGGATGCAGAAGCCACCTTTCATCCTCCAAAGGACGTCAGTGATTCATTGTCTCCCTGTCAGTTTGACAGAGTGCCTTGTTATTTGCCCTGCACTACATCTAGGAGTGCCTCGGAGACACCAAAACGTCTTCAACTTGGTCACATAGATTCAGCAACCAAACATATCAGTCACATATCGAAATACAACTGTAGCCATCATATGACAGAACATGCCAGCGTCAGACTAAATATTTTCCAGAAACTTCGACTCAGTTTTCAAGGCTTTATGTCCAAGAAAGATGAAAAAAACTGCCTTCAGGATAGTTCATCCGTATGTCCTAAATGTAGTTCTGATCTCCCAGAGTTCTTTGCTGTTCGGGAATTTCCCATGAGCAGCCTCAGGCCTGAACAGCCAGAACAAAATGGACAGGGTTACACTAGTCAAAATGGTGTCAAGCTGAGGATGAAGAGAAATATCTCTGATATGTCAGAGTGTATGAAACTGACGAAAAAGGACAAACAGAAGGAATGTTTCCTGAAATCCCGATCCCCATCAGCAAGGTCACTGCCTCTGGAACTGGACTCTGCTGATGCTACCCATTCCTCCTCCTACAGCAGACCAAGGGTGAAGAGTTTAGGCAGTCAGCATCAAGAGACTTGTGTAAAAACTTCTGACAAAATCACCAAAAAAGGATGTGAAAAGATGAAACTGAAACTAAACGGGCTTCAGAAAGGACAGTCCCGATCTCAAGGTGACTTGTTCCAGATGAAGATGAGGAAGAACAAGAAATCTGAAGCTACTCTTGCCGCTGCACCTAGCCACAGCATTGACTACAACGACCTGGATCAGCCTGTTGCTTCTACTCAAGGCAGAGGCTCTTCCAGACAAGTCTCCGAGGGGACTTCTTCAGACAGCTGTCTGCCATCGCCTGGCAGCTCCAGTCAGACACCCACCAACACAGACCTGTGTCGCTTCTATCATGTGTTCAAGGAGGGCGAGCTGGTGGATATTGTTAAGGACAACATCGAAGATCTACATATCATTGACACCTACTTTGATCATGCCAACTGGTGCCTCGTAGCTGAGAAAGTTAAAATATGGAAGATTTGATCTCACTGTTTCTTAGAAGAACTGACGGTAGCTGAAGTATTTAAACTGAACTTGCATGAGACGAAAGTTTCAGTCTAGTGTAGACAGGTGTCGATACTAGTCAGAGTCAAATACAAATCCCTTGATAAATCAACATCATGCATTAAAGAACAACTGAAATGTTGATGTATGCCTATTTCATGTATACCAAGAGACAGAAGTTACTGTGATCATATGAATTCTTTGATAATTTTAAATTAATAACACTTACGGAGATAAATTATTAAAGCACATAAATATTTGCTCAGGAAGAATTTCAATTTTGAAACTTTAATTTTCAAGTTTGACAATTTTGTTAATTTTGTTTTGATTTACAGGATTTTTATAAATCCAATATAAAAAAGAATGTGATGACAAAAACTTGTAGTTTGTAGTAGATTATAGTTTCATTTACATATGTCCTGATTGCCATCAATGTTGTATTAGAAGACATGTTGGTGTGAGTTCATCGCTGCACATGTTAAAACAGCCAAATACACATCTTAGATGTGATTATTCTACAATGGGAGATCTCCATGAGGGAATGTCAATTATTCCTACAGTGTTTGTTAGGCAAGACTCCTCAATAATAAATGATTAATTTAAATGAGAAATGCTCTAAATTGATTTGTTCTAAAACTAGATCCATACAGAAATTTTAGCACTAAGACTTCATATCTCCGATACTTTAAGATAGACTTAATATGGTAAGATAACTGATATTGCATACTTTGTACAGAGTTATGACAATAGTAATGCTAAAGTGATATAACATTCATACTTAAACACACACACACACACACACACTGCTTGTCATTGTGCCACAAGGATTTGTGTAAACCTGCATAGAGGATTATATTTGGCCCAAATTCTACAGCACATAAATAAAAAATTCTCTCTTTGAACTAAAAATTTCCAAATTTATCACAATTAATGTCAATAAGGACATTAGAACAAATAAAATTTTGACCAATATCACGATTTTCTCACAGTTTCTCACCCAAAGGCAATTGGTTTGGAATCTATGGTAAATTTATGGGCTAAGATATTTGGGACTTCCATACCTTAACATAGACTAAAAACAGTAGAAGTACTAAGATCGCTGTGTGCAAGGCGGCCCTCATTCAGACTGTTACCTGTTACAGAAAGTGCGTTTCTGATAGAATCCACTGTACTCAAAGTACACAGGTTATTGTGACATGTTTGATATTAAAAACATTCATTAAAAATAATCTTCTGTGCACACGTCTGAGCTGTTGCTGTGCATGAATCTATTTTTTCTCATAGTTTGGTTATTTGGGAAGTTTTATGTACATCTTGCATGACTGGTGAATACTGATGAGAGGTAATCAACCGGCTACTGTTTCAGTAGACGTACTTCGTAGCTGTAGGCAGGCAACAGCATTGAATAGAGATCTGAAACATGTTGATAATGTTTGACAGTCTGTACTGTATATCCTTGCCTACATGATGAAATAGAGATCTGAAACATGTTGATAGTGTTTGACAATCTGCACTGAATATCCTTGCCTAAATTCTTACCTACGAAATAGGGCCTTGCCTACATGATGATGAAACATGTTGATAGATCTGACTGTATATCATGTTGATAGTGTTTGACATGTCTGCACAGTCTGTAAATCCTACATGATGACTTGCCTGCACTGTAAATTCTTACCTAGAAAATAGGGCCTTGACAACAATGAAAGAGATCTGAGACATGTTGATAGTGTTTGACAGTCTGTACTGTATATCCTTGCCTACAAGACGAAATAGGGCCTTACTAACAATGAAAGAAATCTGAAACACGTTGATAGTGTTTGACTATGCTTGAAATACAGCTGGGTCAACTGACACGCCCATATAAACATAAGCCTACATAAAATGAACTCCAGCCTTGAATAGACTCCCTGTTCCTTATAAACTTGTGAAGTATTGGTGAAAGACATTTCAAACAAAACTGAAAAATGAACATAGGGCGAACATGTTTGAAAATTTTAAATTCCGCTTTTGAAGAAACACTGGCGTGAATAAACACCATGTTTGGGTCCTTGATGTCTGCAGGGAACACCTAGGCCAATTCTTGAAAACAATGTCGACACTAAGAGCATTAAATGTCCTATACTCTTGCATAGATTTATGACAGTTGTAGTGCAAAGGTCACTTTATGGAATGGAGCATTAGTGGTTTTTCAAGGTTTTGTATTATTTCATGGCTGTGTGATTGTTAACTCATTCACTTCAAGTATGTCAAGTTACATGTGTTCAGACAGACACACATTTCAGTTTATCGTATGTTTTGTTTATAAATGTATTATTTATGAAGCAAGACCAATTTTATTTCTAGGTTTTCAGATTATACAAAGAGACCTAGTCTGTTTGGGTTTAATTTCCTAAAAGATGGCTTGATATAAATAAACATGACATTTCAAAAACAACTTTCCTCAATCAAACGCACCATTTCTAACAAATATTTATGAACTCCTGCTGAAGTTTGATGATAGGAACAGCCAGAAACAAACTTGGTGTTGCACAATGTTTCTGTTTTCCAGTCATGGCATGGGCATTGTGTTATATTTGTTGATGGTTGTGTCGTGTTGTGTCTTTCAGTTTACAGATTGATTTATACATTTACTTGTAAGTGCAATGAAGGTTTGATTGAAGATTTTCCTCCTCTGGTTCCGCTATTGTATCCTTTTTTTTATAAAACTGAAAATTCTCAGCAAAATGGGAGTAGAGTTGTTGATATAGTTCATTATTGTTTAATACTGCCCTCAGAAATATTCCAGCTATATGTCAGCAGTCTGTAAATAATCGAGAATGGACCAGACAATACAGTGATCAACATCATAAGCATTGATCTAAGCAATCAGATTACGATGACATGTGTCAGCCAAGTCAGTGAGTCTCACCACCCTGTTAGTTGCTTCTTACAACAAGCATGGGTTGATATACTAGAACCAAACTTACACTAAAAGTATCAAGCCTACATGCTATGTATACATGCTTAAGAATCTGTTTGGTACATCTTCTCACTCTCACTCAATCCTTGCGATGTCTCTCACTGGATTTGTCCTCTGTTGTTATTTAAAGACCAACATCATATAGCCGGAACAATGATGAAAGTCGTATTAAACAACAAACAAAAATATCACACATCCCCAGTGATAATTTAATTATTTCTTGTCTCATGTACAGTTTTTTTTTTATTTTCTAGCAAATCCTACAATGCTAATTCATAACAAATATAAGTAAAAAGTATGATATGTTATTCTATACATACTTGTTTTCTTCAGAATTATCGAAGTTTTAGATTATCTGACAAGAGTTTTCATGGCTTACTTTCTGTGATTGTTGTGTAATTCATCCATCAGAAATTACATAAATAATCAGATCTTTTTCCGAACTTCCAAAGGAGGAAAATCGCCACCAGTTTTACAATCAATATGACCTTGATGGAAATATGTATTGCACAATGTATTTTGCAATTATTTGTCATTGTTTAATGTTTATTAATTTATTTTTGACGGTATATTTTTGTGCCTTGTCATGATATTTTATGCACAAAGGAACAGCGTTCCATTATAATTGTGTCGATGTCAATACTCAGTTATCATGATTGTGATTATTTCTTTCATCATGTTCATAATGGTTATTTTGTAATATTAGTACGCATATATATATATATACAGCTCTCAATTTGAAAGGGGCACATTTCATGTTAATAACGGCATATCATAAATGAAATGGTTTGTATGATGGATCAGTAGAAATATCCTTGCCAATTGTTGAGTAGCATGGATATTTTATTCATTATTAGACAAGAATATCCTTACTGAGAGTTGAGTAGCATGGATTTATTCATGGATTCAACTTTTGAATGGTTAAAGGAACAGATGTTTCCTATCATGAATGTGCATTTTTGAGTGAATAGTTTCATATATGTTCCAATAAGAATAAGTTGGGAAGCATATATTATACACAACTCAACTTGTGAATAGTTGAAAGGAACATATTTCATTTCGTACATGTACAATTTATGAGTGAATAGTTTGGTTTGTAATGGATATATTGATGGAGAGCTGATTAGTTTGTTATTTACACTTCAACCAAATACAGTGCAATGTAAATTCTTTATAATGTTTAATATACCTGTTTGTGCGAACATTCTGCTGAGTTTTGTCGATACTACCATAGTGCAGGCTAGTGTAGGTAGCATACATGTTGGACTTTTGTCTGTGTGAATCCAGGGCCCTTATAATGTATAAAAGGTGACACCTATAGAAATTATCATAGCACTAGGATGGTGTTCTCTCAAACTACGTGGCACTACCAGCCATGTTGTGTTTGCCAGTTGGAAGCATGTTTGTCAACAACAAGAATACTTATGATAGATCTTTGAATTTGGTGAATGTAAATTCTCTAAAGAAGTTGATGATAAATAGCAATGAGTTTGAATGGTTACCGTTTTTCTCCTGATGTGAGATGAATTCTACGCATTCCAGTTTCCAATTCCTGTTTTATTTGTTAATCTTACCACGCTCTGTGTTCCTTGTTCCATTCACTTTTCTAGGTTACGTGAAAGTAAATTCCTGGTTGTCATGTTCTCATATGTATTTACACATTGACAAAGATATTTTTGTTAAAAATATAAGCTTACTAATGTACCCTCCAGTCACAAAGACTGTTTTGTAATCGTGCCATAATGATGTTGAAAATCCTGTAGTTGGGTTAAAGAAGTAGTATTAATTGGATTGACTGATGCATCAGTATTATGTGTGTGTTGATCCAACAATATGACGCAAGAATTAAAACCTTAGGGGTACTGGAGGTTTTTTACATAGTTTTGAATCTGGTAATCTGGGTTATCTCGGTTTAAGCTAGGGTTGAGACAAGGACCTCTTTCCTTTCGTTAATTATTTTGAATAATGGAAGATATAATTCATCCTCAAGCTTTATGGAAATATGTTTTGATAACTTTCATGACCCACATATCAGATTGTTGACTTGTTTATCGACAAACATACTGGCATGATTTTAATGTTATGTCGAAATCTGATAATTAGTTATCACCTTATGCATGAGGTCACAATCACAAATACTTGTTCCAGAATCAAGCATTGTGATTCATATCATGTCATGAAGAAAGTATCGATATACATATCATATCACTAAGAACATATCCTGATACATATCATAGTGTGACTTCTATGCTGACAGCCTGGTTAAGGATGGTATAGTATATATGTTAAAGAAGAGTTCATTTGCTGGTTCTACTTTCCAGAACTACAGCTTAATACCTCATCCTATGCTTTAATAAGTTACATAAATGGTCCCGCCTATTAAGAACTACAACAAATTAACAAAGATGGAAGCTTATTTGCTGGTTTATTACTGTTCAGAATCTTACCAGGATGACTGGACTAAGTTTATATTACCGTTTATAAATGTTTGTATACAAACAAGACAAAGAGATAATCATATTCTAGGCTAGTGCAAAATTACCCAGCTATTTAATCTGGATGGACTCCCTGTGTCTGGAAGCACCCAATGTTTTAACCTGTAGTGACCCGTGAAGGTCTGGGTTAGAATGAATCTTCAGTAACCCATGCTTGTCGTAAGAGGCGGCTAACGGGATCAGGTGGTCAGGCTCGCTGACTTGGTTGACACATGTCATTGGTTCCCATTGGCACAGATCGATGCTCATGCTGTTGATCACTGGATTGTTTGGTCCAGACTTGATTATTTACAGACCGCGGCCATATAGCTGGAATATTGCTGAGAGCGGCGTAAAACTAAACTCACTCACTTTAACCTGTACATGTTATTGTTAGTCTGTATTTGCTGTTTCACCAACTAGCTCTGGTTCCAAGCCTGAACAACTTCAAGGCCAATCAGTATATTACCTTTACCAATAATATAAATTTACATGACAGTAAGATTTCTTTTTGTATATTTTAGTTTTTTACAGAAATCAGCAGCATAAGTAGGACATGTAATTGCCAAGTTACTGTTATGTATATGTATTATGGTTCCATTGATTATGAACTCTTGGTTCACTGTCGCTCAATATTGTGTATGGATTTTAATGAGAGACTTGCTTTGTGCCTATTCTGATAACTTGGTAGATTTTTTTCCATTTATTTTGTAACATCTGTTGTAGATTGAGAAGAGTAGCGTGGCCAATTAATTATTTCTTCTAGGCAGTTTATTATTATTCTGTTTCCAGATCCCTGACTGTGTTCCATTAGATGGAGGCATGAAAAACAAAGAACCTCCCCTACGAGAATTTAAACCCTGGATCTATTCTCCCAAATTCAATTTTTTACATATAATGAAAAATTTAGTTTTTGTTGTGCAGATCTGTCCATAGTGGGAAGGAAGATAACTCTTTATCATTCAGAGACATGTCTCAAAGAGCTGATTACCAAAGTTCATTTGGTTTTCATTTCTATGTCACAGATAATACTATAGAATAAATGTTATTTTTGCAAATTATTTTTACTTCAAAAGGAATATATTAATAAA